GGTGACACCTTTCATTTAATAGTGAGACACCATTTTAAATAAATTTTAGGTATTGTGCTTTGAAAACTTTGCCTAACTTGCAGCAGAGGATGTGTAGTTTCTCCCATAAAAACAGAAAGTTAATGTCTTTTATGAATATGGTGAGCAGACAGCAAAGGTAACATTCAGTGTAACAAAATGCAGATCAACAAATTGTACCCCTAGCTGCCAGAGGAGACAGGTGAAAAACCAGAGAATAATGCAAAAAACCCCAAAAGCGGAAAAGCATCTTGAACAGTGAAATATGTAATAATACACAGCTGGAATGTTGTAATTCATAGGACAAAATACTTCTGTAAGTACCACAGTGCTACAGGTAGCAGGGAGGGGAAACTGAGCCTCTGTAGTATTTGTGAAGCAGTTTCCCTGCCCTGTGAGCCAACTCTGTGAGCAGCTGCAGAGCCCAGGAGTGCAGGAATCAGAGCCACGCCAGACTCAGAGGCCAGAACACTGCCACAGGTGCTTAGACAGCACAAAGCACGGCCTCTGCAGAGCACTGACCAACTTTATAGCCTGCAATTCTCCTAGACCTGTTCACAAACTGTGCGAGCCAACAGAGAGGATGAACAGAGTAACGCCAAGCTCCACTGTGCAGTTACCAGAGCTCCCTGCTGTGGTGAGGATGTGACTTTAACTCAGCTCTGACTAACAAAGATAACTTTGTCCCCATACAATATTGCACTTCTTGACAGGATCTGGCTTCTAAGACTTAAATTATGTGTAATAGCAACTGAAAAGATTCCTCAGCCAGTGAAGAACACTTAATATATTTAAAGTTCTTCTAAAACCAGATACCTTCAAATCCCTACTCACACACCAGCCCAAATAAATAATTTTTGCTTCAAACAGGGAAACCTGCACATTAGTAGTTAACATATTTTACAACCCTTATAAGGGGATAAAAAAAAAATCACAACAGATTTCTTGCAGTCTGTACTACAGCTCTGGTTGTATTTTGAAGTGTCAGACTCTGTGTCACTGGAAGCAGACATTCCCCCATGGTATTTGTACGCTGCCGACGCAACAGACACTCCACTTGCCAGGGTCTATCAGCAGAACTCCATAAAAACATGAAATAAGTATATTTTTAAGAAACCCACAGAAAAACCTAATGCATTATGCCTTTAATCAATCAGCTACATAAATTGCTTAAAAGGAGTTTGACTCCAAGGCGCTATCTGGCTGGATTTGTTTTCATTTTGCCTGCACACAGAGACACAAGGCATTCTGCTCCTGCCAGACCAAGTTGTGGCTCACCAGCAGGACCTGCCATCTCCAGCTTTCCCTCAGTGCCTCATGCCCAGGGCTGATGAAAAAGCAGTATGTTAATGCCCTGCCAAATGCCACTTCTCTGCTGGGTGCTCAGTTCCTCTGGCCGACCACCTCACAGGCTGCTGTGCCAGCCATCGCCACGGCCCACCGTCCAGCCTGCAACCCTGACTGGCTGGACTGATCTTCACTCATTCGAGGGAGATGATGATGACAAGTCAAATGCCACTATTTGAGGCAGGCAGGAAACACTGCTTGTGCTGAAAGATTTCCATGGGGATCTCTTCAGTCGTCATGAAGTGACAGAGATCATCTGAATTGTGACCTGCTCCAAGAATCTGGGCTCCAGAGGGCTGCCCTCTCCTCCAGCTTTTGCTCCTGCCTATTATTTGCATACAACATATGCACTGCACCTTGTGCAGTGCAGCTTTAAACACCTGGGTTTTTAAGTCTGTGTGCTACTTAAATCTCCACAATATCTCACAAACTTTCTTGTGTGAAAATTGCTTTGTTGTCCATCAGTCACTATCAGAACCCTCAGAAACTGGATCCTCACAGATAATGCAATATGGCTGCTCCTCTACTTCTTTTACAAGGTGAGCTTGTTGAGAGACATGCAGGCATCCCACACACCTTCTCCTAAATTCAGCAGTACATCTAGGAGTGGCTCAATCCAAAAATCCTTCTAGGTCACTCTCCCCTGGCACAAACATTTGGCAACACAGACCTTAAAGTTCAGCATACACAACTTTTGTCGGGAAGCATTGCAACACAGTATTGAGTTATTTTAAAAGTGCAAATCAACATTGGATGTATACTATAGAAGAACTGGGTATAAATGAGAAAATTGGGAAACACAAATGATCTAAAAAATATTTCAGAACTTATTTCTTCAAATAAAACCACATGGAAAAATCAAATCAGAGTCTCACTGACTGTGCCAGCTGCCATCCTGGACCAATGGGCACTTCCAGAAAAAGCAGCAACACATTTATCTCCTGTTACTATTTCTCTAATGTGACTGATGTATCCTTGCAAGCCATTTCTATAAAGTTTTTCATTGTTTCAGAGTAACTGTCTAAGTCTCTGTTATCCAGTGAAGGGAACCTCTAAGGTGTTAAGAAACTTTTAGTATAAATTTTAGGAAAAACCAACTCAGAAATTGCCCTTGGACAAGGACATCAAATTCCAGCATACAAATCCGGGTTTTCTTAAATACTACCTAATTTAAATGAACAGTTTTGAGAAATATGTATTTTAAAAATAAGAGAACATAAAGACAAACATTAGTTAAAGTCTTGCATAACTGATACTGCAATACCCTCTTGTGGCCAAATAAAAAGGTTTTGTCTGAAATTTTTCCTCTATAAAAAGCCTCTCTAGGCATCTTTTCCTTTGACTCAAAGGAAACAACTGCCATATTTCTGCCAGATTAATTTGTAGTGTATATTATCACTTTTCTTGTAAAACCTAAAGACTAACCTCAGTCAAGTTCTTCTTCAAAATGATAGGCCCTGACATTTGCTTGTCAAATTCATTAATCACAAAACAAATTTCTAAGCAAAGGCCATCTTTGACAGTGATGCTCATAATTATTTTTCAAGTTTCATGTCCCCAGCCAGAAAAAATCAAGATGTTCTAGTCAGTTTACATCGATGCATGTGGCATGAAGCCACATAAATAAACATCAGCCTACAGGATGAAAAGATGTACATAGTAAATCAGTTGTACCAATTCAAATGAGCAAATAAAATGCTAAACTGGCAAATGGGAAAAATTATTGCTATTTTATCTGTGCCAGGTCTGCTGAGATCACTTAATGGCATACACATGCTTGTAATCTTTCTGTCCAGTTTATTTGGTGGCTGCAAGTAGTCATTTGGAGGCTGTCTTCAGTACAACAACCAGTTTTAGCTTATTATTGTTTAATTTGCAGAAACTGACTTGAAAGAATGATCAGAATTAAAATTTGATCTGATACAGGAACTTAATACACAAGAATTAAATGGAACAGACTTTCCATCAGCATCCTTTTCTGAACAGATCAGGAGCTAAAATCCCATGCACTGATTAATGCATTAGTTCTTCCAAATGTGCCTCAGATTCTTTTTAAAGCAATCAGATGCTGCTAAAACACTGTTCTCCAACCAGCTGCACACAATCCAACTTGGAGAGGACCATGGACCAAATGCAACAGGATAAGCAGAGGAACGGGGACAGCTATTAGTCCAGGCTGAAAAAACACTAAATTTCTCCACTTCATGATAATGCTATGTGGCTACATAACTTCTTTTTCTTTTTGGCTGAAAGAGATGAAAAGCACTATTCGTGTTTCAATTATCTCAGAAAAAAATATCAAATAAACAAAAAGCCTACTAAAATTTAATTCAAACACAAAGTAAACATAGGGGTTTGAGGTGGAATTTACCTTTTCTTAAGTTCACAATCTTCAAATTCAGAATAATTTTTCAAAAATTATTGTAGAATTGTAGAAGTATTTCTTGCTCAACTTTTCTAAATAAAGTGTTTGGATTGCTGTATAGTTCTAACTAAGAAATTATCTGCCAAATGCAGTATGTGTTTCCCAATACTGCAAGCAAAAAACTTTGCCAAAATCCCCCAGAAGAAGTAGATTCAAAGTTCATTAGCAATTACCAGAAAGATGAAACAAGAGGATAGAATTCGTCTGGAACTAATCCACACTACTCAAAAACAAGTCAGTCAAGAATTTCAGAGGAAATTTATGCTTTAAATACTCTGTTTTCCTGCAAGGTCACAAATACTTGAGGAAGTGAGTTCATCCCACAGAAGCCTAACAGGCCAACTGCAAAGACAAACATGGACATTTTGGACACTGTTTTGAAAATTCTCACTTTTTATACTAATGACCCTTTAAAGTTACTTAAAAACTTCTCATAGTTGCTTAATACCTTCTGCAGAACTCTCCAAGTGCCTAGAAAAGACTTTGTAAAATTTGAAAATAAGCTTTCAGAACAGATTCCTTGAAACACTTAATTTTAACCAAACATCTCTGCCCCAAACAGAGTTCAAGGCCTCAGCAGCTGTCACACTGGGTCTCTGCTCCTCTTCTGGTATATATTCACAAGTCAGACGTTTCCAATAGAGACAGTAAACACACAGGAAACCAGCAGCTTTCAGGAGCTTTTGCTTCTGCTACATAACCACAACAAAAGTCCTCCTGACTACTCAGCAGCAATCTCCACAGCTCCCTTTCCTATTAAACCAGACTTTATTGTTCTGAGGGTTTTGAATAGAGGCTGATCTTAGCTGCAGTCACTGTAATCACCTTGTAAGCTAAGAGTTTGCTGCTTACATCTGGAGATCCCATTGCTTCCAATTACAGTCACTTATGAAATTGCTGTTACCATGAAGACCCCAACAGCACTCAAGCAATGATGCAGTAAAATAAAGCAGTAGGAAAGGGTCATTAAATAAGAGGGAAGTAAACCAGTGCTGAGCACTGCCTGTCAGTGCTGCTGTGCATGTTCTTTTCTGAAAGCACTCCAAAATAGCAGCTGAAAAAAAAAATGTTAGGAAAAAAAGAACTTTGAAAGAGCAAACAAGAATAGCTTCCACTTTCTGAGAAGTCACAATATGGCTAAAAAGGCTGGGTATATGGTGAGTGTCAAACTGGACAAGCTGGAAAGGGGCTCTGGAATCAGGAGAAATACCTTGGTTAGGTCTCAGCAAACAGGAACCACACCTCTGGCGCAACCAGCCCCAGCTCCTTCTATGTCCTAGCAGCACCCAGCTGAGCAGAACTGGCAACCACTGCACAAATGGCTACTTGGGCCTGGGCAGACAAGCAGGTAGACCAGGTCCAACAGAATAAGATCTGGAGAGTCTGTGGAGGCTGAAGAGAGAGGAAGGAGAATCTGGTAAGTCACTTGTTCCAGTTCATGCCTCTTTGGCTTGTCTTGACAATGGTCCTGATAGTCCCTGACAGCATTAGGGCTTGATCCAAAGCCACCACTATCAAACAAAATTTGCTGCTGCAGGGACTTTGGATCAGATCCTAATACCTTCCTTTCTAGGGTTACATTATCCCTGCTCTCCTTCACTGGACAAAATCTGTCCTAATATCTCCCAGCATGCTGGGCTTAAGCTGAAAATCAATGCAAAGAACTGCATGCTAAGTATCTTTTAGCTTTTAGAGATTTCCACAAAGAAGACATAAAAGTGCCAAGCTTTATAATTTATTGCAGACACACTGATATTATCACCTCTTCTCATACTCTTGGAAATGGCTGAAATGGAAGCTGAACAGAGTGTTCTGCCAAAATACAATTTTGTATTCCCAGTCTGTAAATCTACTGAACTTGCCCCATTGTTATGGTATTTCAGCACACTGCTGCACACGTACAACCTAAGCTTTGGCTGTGCACACACCAGTGACCCAAAGGAACCCGAAATTAAGATCCTGTCTCTGCCACATATCTTGAGGAAGTGTTTATGTTTATACTTCAGTATACATCATCAGTATGTCTATTAGAAGAATATTCTTGGTAAAATTAAAATCAGCTCCATTTCCAGCTGCACACTGCCCAAGCTAAAGGAAAGGGAAGAAAAAGAGTATCACTCTCAGGATTTTCTAAAATGGGAAACGAAACCACGCAAAAACTTTACCACCTTCAGCCTTCCAGAGGAGATACAGATCCCAGCCCTGATTTCCCCAGAGATGTGTTTGCAGTCTTGCCTGGCTCTGTTTACTTGAGGGACAGGCTGATGCCAGGACTGTGACGCATGCAAAGCCAGGGCAATGTTACTCTCTCCCAGCTGTGCTGGGACACTCAGACTCTTGCTCAACAGGCTCAGCCTGTTCCATACTCATTCCCTAGCTAAGGCAGCAGGAAGGACTCTGTGCCTGTCCCTGGGGTGGACAGTCATGAATATTGGTGCAAAATCACTTTCAAGTGTAATGTAATACATCATACAGCTGATGCACATTCTGCTTTCTAGTTTTAGCTATGAAGACAGAAACATTTGCAAAAGGGTAGGAGAGGCTTGTGAAGAACAAGATGCCTAAAGATGGATTCATCAAACTACACACCTTACAGCCTGCAGGGGACTGTCCTCCAGTTCCACATTCCCGTCCCAAAAACAACGGAGAAGAAAGGCTGGTATCATTAAATGGTCTGACTTGAAGTAGATGTAGGGCAATGCCTGAGACCATGACATTTCTCACTAATTAGCACCATCCAATAGGACCCAAACCTGATAATGCTCAAATGATGGCTGCATATCAAGATAAAAAATTCTAGGACCTCAGTGCTGTGCTGGTATACCAAGACACAGTGATAGACAGAACAGTCATAAATTAGATTTTATTTGCACCTGGGGCATATCTGCACTGGACAGGGGATTGCAGCACAGAAATCCATTGCTCCTAGCTCACATGGTACATGGCTGTGCTGTACAGACAAGCTCTGCTTGGAAGGATGTACAGCTTCAGCACAAGTTTGCTGAGCTTAGATGCAGCACAGGTAAGAAGCACAGAGTCAACCCAGGTGTCCCTTGAGGCCTGCTGCAGATACAGCTGTACAGAACTCTTTCCTCTCTTGACTCACACTCCTCTTACAATAGTGGGTGAACTGATGTTTTCTCCATTTCAGGCCAAGGAAAGCAAAGGACAGAAAATCAAAGGACTTGCTCTGCAGTTCCACACCAGGTATAGAACACAGCTGAAGTGTAAAACTCAGGTCTTCTGACTCCATGTGCTCCTAGGACAGCTGCCCATCTGCACAGCATACTCCTATGGATGTTTGCCTGCAGCAATACGGCTCTGGGAACTCCTACCAGGGACTTCTGCTAGCAAAGCATTGGTCATTTCAAAAATAAGATGCCGTGTCTTGCCCAAGGTATTGGACAAATGTTTTCTAGAGCAACTCAGGACATGAATAATTTATTTGCATTTGCACAACACATTGTGGACATGGTATTCTCACCTTCCATTAGCAAAAATAACACCCCCTCATATAGTATGGGAATAAAGAAAACCGTGGGCTCCGTTACCAAAAAGACAGGTTTTAGTACAAGGAATCTGCAGGTGTAAGAGCTGGACTGTATGTGTCAAACTGAGCAGTTGAACAGGCATTCAATTATGATCAACATTAACCAATTTATTTAAAGACAAAAAAATTGACACTGTATTTTTGCTTCTATTCCAAGGTATCAGAACTGGAGTTTCCTAAAGGAGCATGACCAAATGTTGAGTTTTGAACAGACATTTAACTGTACCCATGCTCATTTAGTTTTCATCAATTTGAGCTAAGCTAATATTTCAAATTGAAGCATACCTAGGCATTACTGGCAAATTCTTTACTACTAAAATCTTTAGGAAAAATAACAGAGCTGAAATGTTTTCCTCTGCTACCTATGTATGTTCAATCTGTTTTAATGTTAACAACTTGGCAAAAAAGGCAGGCGCTGGAAGAATCAACTTCCTAGGAGCAAATTTGTAACATAATCATCTTGCTGAAACCCAAGCCACTTACTAAAAATAAAAGAAAAAACCTCCCACATCACAACCATTCTAGAGCAGGGTAACTTTCATCCCAGATAACATTTTATGCAAGACATTTTAAAATTATTCATTTCCCTCTGTTCTCTTATCTTAAGACAACAGGGGGGAAAAAAACCCAATTGTTTTGCTTTATTTCTACAACACTTTCATGTACATTCAGTATGACATATTTAAGCACATTTAAATTCTAACTTCAAAAGCAGAAATGCTGATCTTATAAGTGCTGATATTACAAATAATTTCAGTAAGTTGTAATTTTGTAAGAAGCAATTCTTTCAATTTTGAAAACTTATTATTGGTCTTTGTTTCATCCAGGGTAAGAGAAAGGAGCAGAAGCCACTGCCAAACTGTATATCTGTGTTCTCAAGCAAAGTTCCCAACTCAACCAACCAAACTACCGGCAGCCAAATGAATACTGAGCTTGGCAGGGTTCTGGTAAATATGAATTCTTCAGCAGTGGTGCACAAAAGAGGAAACTTGAGGGTGAGCTCCAGCTTTCCTAGTGCTTCAGTAACAATATAACAGCAACAAAGCAAGTTCTTTCAAGGGTAAAAACAGATCTGGTCCAACAATGCCATAATAGATGATCCTCTTCATATTTCTGGTGACTGTGCCATATACAGGCAGCACTACAGACCCCATCCCTCCTCCCATGCAAATCTACAGTAAGGATGCCACTAACATCTGAAGGAACGAGGTTACAGACAAAAGACCATTTCTTCCTGAATTTTATCTCCTGAAAACAAATAATAGAGGGGGTCACAGATGGGTCACAACATAAAAAACACACTTTCAGTTCAGCAGCTTGTTGCATTTTATGTAGTTAGAAAAGGATTCATCAGCTTCTGCCACTTGCATGTTTAAACATGCTCTAAAGAATAATACTTGGGCACGTGAGACATGCTTTGTGCTTTTCACCACTCCCTGCTGAGGGAGGGAGACCAAATATTTTTCACACTCGTTTTCATTTTTATTTATGTGGATTTGCTGCTCTTCAATTCCTTTCTCTTATGCTTTTTTTTTCCGGTTTAGCTGATGGAAACTCATTGACAAGGAAACAGGCTTTCACATTTGGCTCTGAAGGCGTGTTGGCTCAGCAACCTGTCTTACACCCTCAGGATTGTCAACCTTGAATTTAACAGGTTCAGTCCCTAAAATCTGTGGTTGCCCAGGGAAACTATCCTCAAGCTAAATCAACACAACAATACCAAAAACCTGTTCAGCTAGTGCATCTTCATTACATAGGTTGAAACTTTATGGCCTGTTATTCTGTAGGAAAATATCTGCAAGGAGCAGAGCATGGGGAGGGTACACACAATATCTCTCCTTTAAGCTGTATGTAACTTCTGCAGGATCGTGCTCAGGCCTAAGTGGAGCTCAACACAGAATCCATTAGCATTGCCTGGACACAACAGGCTGCAGTCTCTCACCAGACTGAGCTGGAGATGGGTGCACTCACCCTTTGCAATTAAAGCTATTTGTTTTTAGGATTAGACTTCAGTGGCAGAAGGCAGCTCAGCAAACAAGGTGACCACCATGACCAGTGATCATTGATCCAAGTGGTCTCAGGCAAAAAAAGGCACTGTAGCAAGAAGACCCCGCTCTTGCCCCCCAAAATCACAACTCCCAAATGGTTCTCTTCTTGGCTTCCTCAACACAGTGAGAACTGAAGGATCAGGGCTTTCAAAATGACAAGTAAGTTACCTAAAGAAGGAAGACCACATCGTGCAACCAGCCCAGGTGAGGGAGGCTGATTCCACTCAGTGCAGACATGAATGACAATGGGTAACTGAGTTCAGACACACCAAATGCGAACCATCCTTTTAACACTTCTTGTTCAGCTGAAACACTTTCTGCTCTCTCCTGTGAGCAGAAAACTGCACCAGGAACTTATTTGTGTCCTGAAAGCAGGAGAGGAAAGAGCAGATCAAGACTTTTCTTGTCCCTGTGCTGTCCAGAGCTTTTTCTGAAAACTGCACAGGCCACTCAGAGGTTAGACATTTGCTGGTGATTGCATAACAGCAAGAGATATTGCCCTTGCATGCCTTACTCTGGGTCACAAACTTTACTCTGAGTGGTGGATGCCCAGTATCTGTCAGGCTCAAGCTCCTACTCATGTAAGAACATTTCATTTGTAAACCTAGGGGACTTTGGTTTTCAGCATGAAAGCATACAGAGCTCCATGTTTCCTAACCTCCAGATGGCACTCACTCTACATCAAGTAATCCACCAGAAAGGAACTCTAAGGCAGTGCTTAGTGCCTTTTTAATGACATTGAATAATTCCAGATTCTTGACTCTGTTTACTGTGTGTGAATCCAGAGAATCCTTCTCCCAGAGAGTTCCTGCAAACTGGAGGGTAAGAGGGTGGTCTAAGCAGTGCACGATTTAATCCTCCCACTTCACTTACAGCCAGCATTGTTTCAACTGAAGCACTTCTGGTTTTTGACAAGACCTTCCACGTCTTACCCTAAAGATGTGGGCTACTAATCAGAGGAGCAGTGATGGCAATTGCAGTATGGGAAGACGTGTCACATAAGGAAAAGTTAAAAAGACTGTTAAAAATTTAACCTGAAGGGAAAAAAAGCAGTCTTGGAAGAGGATAGTTGTCCTTAGATATGTGTGCATCTCTGGAATGAGAAAACAAGTAATTTGCAGTTCGAGGGAGCATCAGGCAACAGCAAAAATAACAAGCTCAAGTTTTAGCATGGAAGAATCACATTAACTTTTTGGGAAGCTAGTAGTAAGGATAATACAGCATGAAATGGATTCCCTGAGGAATCTCCACCTTTGAAGCTAAACACACACATCTATCAAGAGAGATGTATTTAATAGGGTTTGTCTTTTATTGTATAAATTGAATGACTCTCTGAAGAGCTTTTCACCAATTGTATGGCTGTTGGGATCAGAACATATTTTGCAAAAATTACTTTTCAAAAACATTCACAAGGATTTTTTTTAATTCATATTTTAATTATACCAGGTTTAAATAGATTTCACCTCTAAAATACAGATTAATCACTTATTTTGATGGAAATATATTTCTAGTTTTTCTAACTACTCATATAGGGTCCTTTTCACGAAGTCAAGATGTGTCTCTTTTAATCACACTCATCTGAGAGGATTGTTTAGTGCCCTCCTGACAGCCACGTAAGGACACTTATCAAAGAACATATTATGCCATGTCTGTGAATGGCAACAACTAATTTTATTTTTTTAATTGATGAAGTCTTTAGTAAAAACATGTAGTCCTGTGTCCTTAATCAGATGAAGCAGCCATGGAGGTGCCAGGAATTTCTTGGAGTGGGGACTGCAGTGGTGATGTGTACTCCCCTCTGCTATGTACTCCCTCTGCATGGTCACCTCAGGACAACAGATCTCAACTGGAAACTCTGTAGGAACACCTGAAAAGGGGCCAAAGTATGCAATAATTTTTGGCTTAATTGTCGAAGAGTCCAGCCTCGGAAAATGTAGCTCTGTGTCTTGTTGTGAGATCACACCAAGCCACAACTGTGCTCACTCTTTTTATGTGCAATTAAGTTAATATCCTGATTAGCTCTGACTTTCTGAGTCAGAGTTCAAGCTAATTGAAATTACTTTAAAATACTAGTGGGCAACAGCTGGATAGAACCAGCTCTGTTCACCACAGAACTCCAATTCATTCCTATTTCCTGCTGAAATCAATTGCAACTCTTTAGTATTTTGAATTTTAATGATTAAGAAGGAATGTCTTGAGAATCAAAGTTTCCTTTGTGGAATAGATCAGATAATGTGTGATATAGGAACACTGTGTAGAACTGGACATCTGAGCTTGTTAAATTATTACAATTTCCTTAATAATTACACATCAATTATTTTATGTCACTGCAATTAGCTCTCCAGGATTGCAATTCCAAAATTAGTTTGGGTCTCTCCACCATGTACAGCAACCTCCAGAAAAGACCTTTTAGAAATATCCAGGGTCCTAATCAAAACTGCCTTGGCACCGCCAAGTAGAAGGCAGAAAACAGACAATCTCTAGACTCCAATTTCATCCCAAGTTTAGCAGTCATTTTTCTTTTACAGTAATTAACTTTGCCAACTAATCCTTATTTATATAAGCAGAGTGTCTTAGAAAGATTGGCTGAGATTATGGTAGTAGTGAAATCTGTAAATAATCAGTGGAAATTCCATTTATCAAAGAGATTGTGTAGATATTCAAATGTGTGGTAAGTTACTTGCAAAGCATTCTTATGGTGTATCACTTAGGCTTCAGTTTTATAAGCTTTTTTCCCTTTTGTTGCTAGATCTCAAACGAGGGATTATCCATGTTCAGAGAATTAATTTTCTTTATTTCTTTCAGTTGGCACAAGTGGGTAGCTATATTCATTTAGTTCTTCCCTTAGTTATATACTGCTTTCTCTTCTATATTTTTGAGTGTAGTTACAATATTTATAATGTGAACATGTTTCCAGTACATCTGGATTTTGTGTGTTCTCATTTTGAGTTCCATTTAAATTTAAAAGTGTGAAATATATATTTTAAAAAAACATAACATACGTAAGTTCATATAAATATGTGTTTCTTGTGCTTTTAGAACAGTCTTTGTATATAGTTCCCAGATGGCACCTTAACTATAAAGTTTCATTTAACAAGGTTTTTTTATGACTGTAAATCTAGTTGTTTCTTAGAAACTGTATTTAAAACTGTTTCTTGACCTTTAGATTACTCTAAAGTAAAGAAAAAAAACTAAAAAAAAAAAACCAAAACAACCTCAAATGTTCCTACAAAGAAGGTCTCATGCTGCGAGACATATGATGATGCTGACAAGGCATCATCTGCTTGTATGCATTATGTGCATACATATTCACATTGCTCAGCTTCTAAATAAATTAATTTCTTTTTAGAAATTAAATCAGATGACAGTTTTCTAAAGTGGGGTATTTTTTGTTTTGCTGGTTTTAGAAACCAAAAATAATCTGCCAGGGCCTCAAGTTGCATTTCCTAAATCCTGCACAGATACAAATCACTAAAGCTTTCCTAAATCGGAATGCCTCTCTTAAAAACTCTACTTGCTAGTCTGAATCCTTGTCAGATATGTTTTCCTTCTTCAGAAAACTTCATCTTTGTGTCAGTGAATTCCCTGAAAGACAGATGTGTCGCCATGTAACTCAGGAATTCCACTGAAAGCTGAAGAGGTGCTGGCACAGGCCTGTCCACAGCCCTCTTCTGTCACAGGGCATAGACTGACTTCAGCTTGTGACCTTTCCAAAGCCTCTCTGAGAAGCTGTGTGAACCTATGTATCTGCAAAACTGCCAGCACTCAAAAATGGAATTTCCAAGTGTCTGGGGTTACAGCCTCATGTCAGCACAAGGCCTTTACGCCAGGCTGATGGAGCAAAACCACTACAAATTTCTATTAACTGTTTCTTAACCCAGAAGAAAGTCTCAGCTGGCATATAATGATTGATAAATTGCATTAAGAAGTAATGTCCAAATAAACTGGCACAATAAATATAAAAACT